GGTTTATTAGAAACAACTTTATGCAGGCGTAAGTTCGAATCTGATAGCATGGACTGAGCTGACTTGAGTAGATCAATAGCTTCCCCAGAACTTGAACAAGAATACACGCCATCATCAACATAGAAGTCTTCGTGGACAAATTTATGTGCGGCATTTCCATACTTGTGACAAGCGTCATCAGCCGATTTCCGAAGTCCAAATGTAGCTACTGCAGGGCTAGGTCCGTTTCCAAAAAGATGTACATTCATCTGGTAGTCAACAACAGGAGCATTTGGATTGTTATCCTCAAACCAAAGGAAGCTTAAGAAACTTCGATGTTCAGGATTGACGTAAAAGCTATGAAACATTTGCTCAATGTCACACATTATCGCAACTTCATCTTGACGAAAACGAAGCAGTCTTCCGAGAAGTCCATTCATCAGGTCAGGACCTTGAAGTAATTCTTTGTTTAGGGATGTTCCTTGGTATTCTGCTGACGAATCAAAAACAACTCTAACTTGTGTAGGTTTCTTAGGATGATACACTGCAAAGTGGGGAAGGTACCATTTCTGTCCTTCCTTGGTATCACCTTGAGTCGGATCAACTTGTGAAGCGTGGCCTCTTTGGAGAATCTTTGACATAAATTCAAGATAGTCAGTTTTAAGTTGACTATTTCTTGTGAAGTTTCGTAGAAGACTTTCGAACCGCTTCTCTGCTTGAGCTCGGTTATTTGGCAAGTTTGTTTTAGTCTCATGAAATGGAAGGGGTGCTTCCCAATTTCCTAAACAGTTCTTGTGGAATCCTTCCTCCATAATTTTCAAAAAGTGACGATCATCTGGAGATGTTCCATGGTCCGAATCATGTTCTGAAGTAAAGAATTCATCTTTAGCAATACTGTTCAGTAAACCTTTCTGATCAACTGATGTCTTCTCACAAATAACAGATGTGTACAGCTCCTCCCCAGTCTTGGTTTCAAGTGCTTTTGCTATCTGTTCTTTACAATGAATTTCATATTTACAATCCTCTAGAGTATATTCTGTTCCAACTAAGGTTCGGCGACATGAGAGGTGCACGCTACCTCCAAGACGATTCAAACAAATATCTCCAGACACAGTCCAGCCTAGGTCCAGACGTTGAGCCCATGGTGCTCATACGGGGCCGTTGATGGATTCGCGAACTTTAAGAAGCTCTGGAGCGTCTCTTCCAATTATCAAATTTATTCCTGTGGCTTCTTCGTAGGGTGGAAAAAATTTAGCTATATGCCGAAGATGTGGGATTTGGTGTATAGCTTCCTTTGTAGGAATTTCAGATTTGTCTTCCGGTATATTATCGGATTCGATGATTGTCGGGAGCTTGAATGTTTTGCCATCCAAAGTACGGGCATATAAGTTCGTGCCTCGTCGTCCCAGACAAGTTTCTTTGCCATGACAGGTCTCAAGTGTGTACTGGTGCCTATCTCCTGTGATGCCAAGGTCATCGAAAAGAGATCCACTACCCAAACTATGACTAGATTGGTCGTCGAGAGTGGCATACGTTCGGAATACTACGCTAAAGTCGTCTCCACGGAGAATGTCAATGAGTGAGAACTTTCCACAGGTTCTCCCTTTGATGCCTGGTGATCCACATATCTTCATGCAAGCTGTTCCAACGTTCTCTCCAGTTGACCGAGAAGGGTTATGTGACGAGTTAGATGCGCTGTAATGCAAAAGTGTTGGATGTCTACGTCCGCAGCTATCGCATTTGACATCTGATTTGCATCTTGTATAGTATTGTTTTTTGGCGATTCATCGAAAACAAATGCTAGCATTTCTGACAATCAGTTCCCGCTCTCTGGGTTCCTTATCTGCAAATACACGACAAGTAAGCAAAGTGTGACGATCTTTACTTTCAGGATGAATAGGGCATAACACGTCTTCTTCCGGATTAATGTCTTCAGAAGTTTTGATATCCATTTTCAATGACTTGGTATGTCCTGCTTTGTTCGAATAGAAGTTCAAATTACGAGGGTTTGGAGATTTGTGTAGTTTCGAAGTAGATTCGTAGTCAACTCCAGGCATTTTGATGATAGCTGGATGGTTTTGTTTCAAAGCAATGTTATGCATGAGTTCAACAAAGGAAGAAAATGGAGGATAATCATCAGATTGTCTTGACATCATGTGTTTGGTAACTTTGTTTTCCCATTTGTCACGAACCATTTTAGGGATTTTCTCAATCAATGACTTCATGTAGTATGATGAATTCAAAATGGACAGACCGTTCAAAAACGGAATTTGTGAACCAACGTCTTCACAAACATCATAAAAGTTCTGATACCCTTGTCGGTCGTCGCTTCGGAAATTGGCAGCTTTCTACAAGTTGTTCAGGAGGGCGTTTGTAATTTCTGCACTATGACCGAAACGTTCTTCCATAGCTTTCCAAAGGTTGGTGACTTTCACATGAGCGTCGGGATGTACACGTCTACGAAAGATGTTGACAAGATCCTTTGGTTTTCCAGATGTGTAGCGAAGAAGGTATGTCATTTCCTGGTCTGGTGAAGCATCGACATCAGCAATCATTGATTTAAAAGCCACTTTCCAAGGCAAAAATATAGGAGGGTCTCCAGCGAAAACATCCGGTTCGCACTTAGGTAGTGACTGTTTTGCCAACGAAGACATAAGCTTAGCACTTGTTTCATTTTGCATATCAAGATGTCGAAACAGGGTTTCATTGAGTGCGAAAGTTGCATTATGTTGATGTGATGTTGCTTGATCAAATGGTCGAAATAGTGGGTCGTTACCAGCAAATCGTTCTGGTTGACAGGTAGCCGATGCTTGATGGTTATCTTGATTGACTTTATCCTCAATGTTAGGTTGAGTATCAAAAACTGGTTTCACGTCGTTTATCCAGTCCTGGGTTGCTTTAGAGCGATCAAGCTGTGATGCCAAATCATCAACAGAGCCAATGTCTGATCCCCCACTGTAGGCCTTTACTGCTGCTTCAGCCATTGCGAGGTCTCGTTTACTTTTAAGTTCATCTAATTTGGAAGCATCTAGTAGTTTCTGGCTTTCGAGGTCAGCTTCTCTCAACTTTTTGGTTAACTGAAACTGTCGAATCTGTTGATCAAATTCAAATTTTGTTTTCTGCTCAGCAGCTCGTACCTTAGCTTCCAGTCGCTTGGCACAACTTGATGTAGTAGAAGCTTTTGACAAATGAGCAGATTTTTTATCGTCACAGGGGTGCTCTTGGGTGCCTTCCTTACAAGGGATAGGTGGTGGAATGCTATTAGCCAGTGCACTATCTGATATCTTTAACCATTCCACTGTTCTAGACGAAATTTCAAGAGCTTCAGCTTGTCCAGATTCCGATTTATCACGGGTAAATAACTCTTGAATCTCTGTGGCTTCGTGCTTGAAGGCAAGTTGAGAGACAACAACGTTATTTTTTAACTCTGGGATTTCTGGTGATCCGGCTTTTGCTCGCAATAACATGTCAACGTGGTGTTTAAGTTCTTTATGAGACTTCCAAAACTTCTTAGTTTTCTCCATTATAGCGTTTTCAAGGAATTTCACAGATGGCGTTCGGTTTCTGGATGAATTTTGCGCAATTGGAGTTTCATTGTCGCCTTGATGGGCTTCCATACTTTTAAAACTTCGTCTTGAAACGTTTTGAAGAAACTAATAATTTTACCACAAATAAAGATCAACAACTAATTCGCGTGTTGCGAAGTGTTCATAACAATTACTATGAATAACTTTAGTGTTTTTTACTGTACTGTTTTGTCGGCTTGCAGACGACTCTTTAACTCTGACAGTACCGTTGAGGCCTTACCCGCAGCAAAGTCGAAGATGTCAACAAACCGGACGCGTCAGATCAGCTTAACGCACTCCCACAAATAAATCATAGAACGACGATGTCCTGGAACGATGTTAATTTAATGGGCAAAGTGGTAAAAAACACTGTGAAGTTTCACATACAAAATTATGACGAACAAAACAAATATCAACCCATGTTGGAAACAATGGCGGGTTCTAACCAGTTCATAGATCTCATTGTCCAGTCTCTCAGATATAAGACAGCACCGACACTCGCTGTGACGCTTAAACCAAATGCAAATGCGAAATAAATGTCAGTAAATTATATGGAATGAAATGATAAGCTTAATAAATGTCCATTACCGAAGTACACAAAATAATTGTAGGTTTAAGATAAAGAAAACACGAGCGTAGCGTCAGCTTGGTTACCGTAAGGTGCCTTAGTTCTAGTAACAAGTGTCTTATTTGACGACTACAAGTTAAAATCTATGGCAAGACGGTAGGGTCACGAAAACGTAAAACAGCACAGGGACATATTATTCAGTTACAACAAGTGGTATTGGGCCTTTAAAATGCTCTACACATGCATTCAGTCGTCACCCAATCAAGATCTTTTACCGAACCAACTAGTGGTGGAACTTTCACAAACTATCATCGACATCTTGACCCACATTTACACCTGCATCCGCAGTCACACCAATTTGTTTATCGATATAGCTTACGTGTGCTGTTGCATCAAATTTATCAATTACATACACATTAATTAATATGGTTTTGGCTTCAGTTTTTAATCTAAAACAATTAGATGAGATTGTGGTTTGTGTATCTAGAACTCGACATCAAACTAATGTGCTGCTAAACAATATTACATCCGTTTAATATCACCTTCCTTATCAATATTGAAACAGATATTACCGTGTTTATACATTGGAATAGTGTTTACTTTGTTCAGTCTTTAATAGCTCTCAATGAATTGAATAACATCCACAATTACATCATAATACCGGGACAAATGCAGTAAATTATAAAGCAATGTTCAGTGTATATCAGTTAATTCGACGTAAGACATGTTACTAACTCTGTTAATATTGAGTTCTATAGGACTCTCGTCTTGCACCAGTGGCGTTATAAACAGATTGCACAAGAAAATATTTGACAACTACAATCCTGATGCGAGACCCATAATAAACCCATCAGCTGCTGTGAATGTTGACATTCTTTTTAACATAGAGTCTATCGGGAAACTTGAATCATCTTCGCAGACATTGGTGGCGTCAATTTGGTTAAAGTTAACTTGGAAAGACGAATATTTGGTATGGAATAAGACTGATTATGATGAGATTGGTCGTGTTGTAATCCCAGCTAAAAGAGTGTGGGTTCCTGATTTATATTTTTCTAACAGTGTTTCTATACAATCCGGCATCTTAACACCTGGAGATGACAAACTTTCTGTTGACAGCAATGGTACCGTAAGTTGGTACATTGGCAGAACAACCGAAACACGCTGTAAGATGAACCTTGGAAAATTCCCGTTCGATACACAGACTTGTTCCATCAGTTTGGCACAGTGGACAAGCACAGTGTCGGAGGTAAAACTTTCAAAAGAGATCACAAATGTGAGTCTGTTTGAAGCAAGAGGTACATGGAAACTGGAGGATCTTTCGACTAGTGAACAATTCATGGATGTTTTATACCAGTATAAACAGCTAATATTTCAGATTTCTTTATCAAGATATCCATTATTTTATGTACTGACTACCATTTTACCAATCTGTCTGTTAGCGTTTTTGAATCCTGTTGTTTTCCTAGTTCCGGCTGAATCAGGAGAAAAGATTTCTTTATCAGTTTCCATTCTCCTGGCCTATTCTGTCATCCTGTCTGCGCTATCAGAATTGTTACCAGAAGTTTCAGAAAACATTAGTATTTTAGGCGTCTACGTCTGCACAATGTTATGTTTGAAGGTGGTATCTGTTGTGGCTTCTGTTGGTGCCGTGTGGCTTTATCACCGTTCCGGATCAGTGCCTAGGGAAGGAGTTTACCATTGGTTGGGCAAGACCAGAAGACGGAGTTTCAAAAATGAGAATGTTCACCCAAATGATGGAAATTCAGACGAGGAAATCATTAGCTGGCAGGACGTGTCGAGAGCATTTGATCGGATTATGTGCTATATAATGTGTACTTTAGCATTGCTAATCTCTATTGTCTGTGCCGTCTGTATTTTTAAGTAAGTATTTAGCTACTGCTTTTGCTTCGGTGTGAATTTTATTTATGTCACATTTGTAATGTTTTCGATGATATGACGTGTGTAATCTTTGCTAATCTGAACAATGAGTTTTCTCCTTTATACTTACTAATACCAGTGTCCATTGTGTTCAAGTTAGATTAATAAAAGTGTAAATGTTTGTAAGTTTAAGTGACGACTCTGATATAAATATATTGAACTGAATGGTGTTTAGGGTCGTACTGTTCTCCACTGTTCGTTCAGTTGCTGGTACTTGATGACTGCACTGTAGCTAATTTTGACCATTTCTGGTGATTTAAGTGAGTAGGATCTCGAGATAGGTCTGGTACGAAGATAATAACACTACAGTTGTAGTTAATATGTCTCTGATTCATTCACTTGTTAGTGGCAAAAGTTTGTTTAACCCAATTGATCTAACCTTTTCAGGTTTAGAACTTTTCATCTAGCCCTCGTAATCGTTGCTTATCTGAACAGCTTACTTGTGGTCTCCGTTGTGCTCAAGGTACAAATACGGTATATGATGTTATTTTTAAACGCCCCATTTCCAACAAGGTATGGAAAAAAACAAATTGAAATTTAACGTCATATTGTCCTGTCCTAAGTGATCTGGACGTCACGGTTGTACGTCATGCAGTGTGCTAAGGTGGCATTTTGCCCGGAGAGTGGCGGTTTCCCTTCCGTCTACTCTTTGTTGCATTTCAATTGTCAAGGTTTGTTATACGTATACACTAACTTGTACACCGGACCTCGGTTGATAGCGACGACAGGCCTTATGCGGGTATTTCGGAATAAAATAGGAAGGATAAATAGATATGATTCGTCCTCTTATTTCCCCTAATTTTTCACATCAGATTTTAATAAAGCCATTAAAGAATGTAGCCTCTACCATGTTCATAGGTCCCGTGTACACAATGGCGTGCACGTAAAAGATCCCTTGACAGTTGGACTTCAATATAAGAGTAGGCCGTAGTGCCGCTGTCACTACTGTGGGACGTTACACCCCATTTCATTTCATTTCCATGTTAATAGGGTTTTCCGAAAAGAGGACGTGACTCTGGAACAGGTTGTGTTGGAATGTTAGTATATATATATATATATATATATATATACACTATTCAAAAAAAGTAGGGGATATTTGATTTTGGGGGCATAATACTAAAATATGCAAATGACTACGAAAAAAGTCACTATAGAAACTAACAGAAGAAACATTTTCAGTTACATGTGACGCCCAAACGCACCAATAGCTACCGCATGGAATGCATGTGATGCTTGGGATCATCATGGGGGTCCAACCCAAGATTTGCACGACTCTGACTTTGAATGTTACACTCATTGTGGCATTGAATTCCAGGGTGGAAACAACAGTTTAATTGTTTTAGTGACCAGAAAACAAATTTTGATATGCGTCGGCTTACCCAAAATGAAAGGTTACGTGCCCTTGGCATGCTACAGATCGGCACAACACAGGCGGTTGTGGCGCGGACGATGAATGTTTCTCAGTCTGTCATAAGCAGGCTATGGTCCAGATACCGTGATACACAATCTGTACAGGACAGACCACGCTCAGGTCGACCAAGGGCGACAACTCAAGCCCAGGATCGATTTATCCGTACCTTGGCCTTGAGAAATCGTGTCATCACAGCAAATCAGATCAGCGCTCGTCTTCAAACAGACACTGGTGTGAGAGTGAGTGGCCAGACGATTCGGAATCGACTGCATAGGGGTCACCTTCGCGCCCGACGTCCTCGCGTGATCCCTTGTTTGAGAGATCATCACATTCAGGCAAGTCTTCGTTAATGTAGGGATCGTCAACACTGGGATAATCGACGCTGGAGCAATGTGATGTTTTCAGATGAGTCAAGGTTGACTGTTGATTTTTTGGACAGACGTAGGAGGGTGTGGCGTCGTCGAAACGAGCGCTTCCAAGACGTTAACGTCATCAGACATGATCGATTTGGGGGTGGTTCTGTTATGGTGTGGGGAGGCATCACTGTTGCTGGAAGAACGGCAACATGTTGTTGCAGGGCGTGTTACAGGCCAGTACTACCGGGACAACATCTTGGCAGTCCATGTTGTGCCGTTCGCACGACGTCATGGCCGCCGTTTCATCTTCCAGGATGACAACGCAAGATGTCACAGGGCCAGGATCGTTACAGGTTACCTCCAACAACAGAACATTACCTTGGCCAGCACTGAGTCCCGACCTCTCCCCCATCGAGCATGTCTGGGACATGCTTGGACAGAGGTTACGTCAACGTCAACAACGTCCTGCCAATGTCCAAGAACTTGCTGCTGCGTTGCAACAGGAATGGGACAATCTGGACAAAAATGACCTTAGACGTCTCATTAGGAGTATGCCACGTCGGATCAATGCTTGTTTGGCAAACAGAGGAGGATTTACCCGTTACTGACTTGGTTGTGATGCTGTGGTAACTTTGCTGTTTGACCCCGGGTATCATTTTACCCTTATAATGGTCAGTCTGTGCCTTACTTAGTCTAACTATCATTTGGAATAAATCGATGAATGTGAACTTCATTTCATTTTGTCATTTGTTTCTTCGTCAGTTTCATTAGGTGACTTTAATAACACTTAAAAATCAAATATCCCCTACTTTTTTGAATAGTATATATATATGAACTGACCCAACAAGCGTTCAACTAATCCTATGTTAGAATTGACCCCTTAAATTCATACCACAAAGCCCCACCCTCCCTAAGAGCTGCACAAATCATAATTCATCATCATAATCTACAATTTGTCCCTCTTTATTAGTTTTTTCATCAAAATCCGCCATTTTCCGTCATATTTTACACTTCTTCCACTACATCATTCCTACAATTTTCCGGGCTATCCTTGTATATAAAGATATATTAGTTTCGGTTGAGTATGGAGTTTGGTCATTCACGCACATCAATATCTGTTGTTGAGTCCCCGTCTTATACCTGCGTTAAAGATGACATTATTTACCATAACTGATAGTTAGACCTCATGGTGTAAAATATACATGGAGTATGAACAATGTAAAATGTCCCCTCCCCCCCCCCCCCCCAGCGTATAAGCTATATTAAACTGCTCTACACATGCATTCAGTCGTCGCCCAATTAAGATCTTTTACAGAACCAACTAGTGGTGGAACTTTCACAAACTATCATCGACATCTTGACCCACATTTACACCTGCATCCGCAGTCACACCAATCTGTTTATCGATATGGCTTACGTGTGCTGTTGCATCAAATTCATCAATTACAAACACATTAATTAATGGTTTTGGCTTCAGTTTTAAATTAACAATTAGATGAGATTCTGTTTTGTGTTTCTAGAACTCTACATCAAAGTAATGTGCCGCTAAACAATATTACATCCATTTAATATCACCTTCCTTATCAATATTGAAACAGATATTACTGTGTTTATACATTGGAATAGTGTTTACTTTGTTCAGTCTTTAATAGCTCTCAATGAATTGAATAACATTCACAATTACATCATAATACCGGGACAAATGCAGTAAATTATAAAGCAATGTTCAGTGTATATCAGTTTATTCGACGTAAGACATGTTACTAACTCTGTTAATATTGAGTTCTATAGGACTCTCGTCTTGCACCAGTGGCGTTATAAACAGATTGCACAAGAAAATATTTGACAACTACAATCCTGATGCGAGACCCATAATAAACCCATCAGCTGCTGTGAATGTTGACATTCTTTTTAACATAGAGTCTATCGGGAAACTTGAATCTTCTTCGCAGACATTGGTGGCGTCAATTTGGTTACAGTTAACTTGGAAAGACGAATTTTTGGTATGGAATAAGACTGATTATGATGAGATTGGTCGTGTTGTAATCCCAGCTAAAAGAGTGTGGGTTCCTGATTTATATTTTTCTAACAGTGTTTCTATACAATCCGGCATCTTAACACCTGGAGATGACAAACTTTCTGTTGACAGCAATGGTACCGTAAGTTGGTACATTGGCAGAACAACCGAAACACGCTGTAAGATGAACCTTGGGAAATTCCCGTTCGATACACAGACTTGTTCCATCAGTTTGGCACAGTCGACAAGCACAGTGTCGGAGGTAAAGCTTTCAAAAGAGATCACAAATGGGAGTCTGGTTGAAGCAAGTGGTACATGGAAACTGGAGCATCTTTCGACTAGTGAACAATTCGTGGATGTTTTATACCAGTATAAACAGCTAATATTTCAGATTTCTTTATCAAGATATCCATTATTTTATGTACTCACCACCATTTTACCAATCTGTCTGTTAGCAGTGTTGAATCCTGTTGTTTTCCTAGTTCCGGCTGAATCAGGAGAAAAGATTTCTGTATCAGTTTCCATTCTCCTGGCCTATTCTATCATCCTTTCTGCGCTATCAGAATTGTTACCAGAAGTTTCAGAAAACATTAGTATTTTAGGCGTCTACGTCTGCACAATGTTATGTTTGAAGGTTGTATCTGTTGTGGCTTCTGTTGGTGCCGTGTGGCTTTATCACCGTTCCGGATCAGTGCCTAGGGAAGGAGTTTACCATTGGTTGGGCAAGACCAGAAGACGGAGTTTCAAAAATGAGAATGTTCACCCAAATGATGGAAATCCAGACGAGGAAATCATTAGCTGGCAGGACGTGTCCGGAGCATTTGATCGGATTATGTGCTATATAATGTGTACTTTAGCATTGCTAATCTCTA